CTTTTGCCCCCGGGCCGATAGAGAACACGATGGTGTTGTTGAGCTGTGGTTTCGAGGTACTGTGTTCTTGCACGTCGCCAACCCAATTACTCACCCGGCTGGTCAGAAGCGTGTCGCAGGCGTCTTGGTAAGCTTTGTAGCATACCAACTTCTCCATGAAGACCTTGGACTTGGAGGCAAGACCGTTCACCCGCCGGGTTTGAATCGGGAAAAAAGTGCCATCCCAGGGTTTGTCTGCAAGGAGATGTGCACGAGTGTCCTTCTCAATTGCCGCCAAATCTTCTGTGCTCAAGGCATTCTTGATGACGCAACCGCCGGCTGAAATGAGAGCGCCAACGATCTCTTCGTTCGTCACAGATGCGCTGTCAAAGACCTTGACTTCTGGAAGAGGTCTGTCCCTGTCGTCTTCTTCACCTAAGTTCATTGTGAACATTTGAGGTGGCGCCGAGGTTTTCACTCGTTTGAGTTAGTTCAGAAAGCCACGATCTTCGGCAGGGCGTGGTTTTGTAGTGTAAGTGCGATTGTATGTAGGGTCGTATATACGCCGATCTCGATGATTTCCGTCGTGCCTTCGCGTTACGTTGAGCTTAGACAATGGGTATCGTCAACTTCATTTGCCTCCCGAAGGACGTAGTCAGGGTCGTCCACCTATCTACAACGATATCCACAACGTGCTTGCCGCGCCCGTTTGGTGAGAGGCTTTCTTCGACTATCACCGCCTCAACCAAGTGGCTGCCAATGTTCGCTGTGACTTGCCACAACCGCGGCTCGCGGTAAATGGCTGGTTGCGAGCCATTGTGTGGGTAGATTTGACTGTTTCCGACGGCTGAGTTCTAGACACGGGTCCCGGGGTTTTTCTTTCTTGGCATTATCGATACCGAAACATCTGACACGTTTGAAGCGAAATCATTAGCAGCGGGCGAATAATGCATGTGCTAACATCTCAGAGGGGGCAGAGTTTGTTGGGTCTTCCCCGCAATTAGCCATGCGATAAGGGAGAGATAAGCGTCGATTGCCGCGGAAAAGCCGGGCGCGCACTGAATCGGGCAGTCGACTACGGGGGCAGTTAAGTAGACATGACTTGGCAGTCTCGCCACCTCAGAAAGACACTTTCTGAACTTGGGGATGGCTTAGACCCAATTGACTACATAGTCCGCATGTAATCCTTTTATTTACCCTGTCTACTGCGTGTTTTCCGTGACAAAGATGTCCAGAGTCGAAGTCCCCGCGCCGGCGAGCGGCTATAGCGTTGAAAGCTTCGATGCGAGCTCTACCACGCAGTCGGAGGTTGTGGAATCTTTGATCAGGAATGGAGGTTGTTTTCTCCGAGGAATGATAGACCAGCAGAGTATTGATGCAATGCTCAATGACGTTCAACCTTACATCGACGCAGATGTACCATGGGAAGGCGACTTCTTCCCAAAAGAGACTCGCCGTATGTAAATGACAGGACAGTGTTGGCCGGTACGCTAAGAATTAAACAGGAGTAAACGGGCTACCAGCAAAGTCACCCCTATATACAGAAATGGTCCTTGGTCATCCTCTGTTCACCGCAGTCAGTAATGACCTTCTCACCACAAGAACGAGCACATGGATTGGTGATAAGCAAGAACACTATGTCTCACCGCCTTACTTGAACTCAACGTCTGTACTGGCGATCGGACCGGGAGCTCGAGCGCAACAACTCCACCGTGACGATAGCCTACACCACACCAAACTCCCCAAGATCACCTCTGATCAGTACACCAAGGATCGCGATACGGCACTCGGAATATTCCTCGCTGCGTCCAAAGCAACAGTGGCTAACGGAGCGACGAGATTTATCCCGGGCTCGCATTTGGACGCCTCAGATTATGGACCTGGTGATGAAAGTAAGGTTGTCTACGCCGAGATGGAGCCCGGCGACGCGTTCCTGATGCTCGCGAGTTGTTTTCATGGAGGTAAAAAGATGCATGCGCTCAAGCAGCCGTTATTCATAGTGCATACTGATTGGTTCCCCTCAGGCTCTGCAAATACAACGACAGACCAACCACGAAAGCTATTCGGATCCTTTATGTGCCGTGGCTATCTCCGTCAGGTGTGTTTATAGTAGTCCTCGTGCTGTTTGTGAAACTAATCTCCCGTTAGGAGGAGAATCAATTCCTCGCCAATCCGATAGAGGAGGTCAAGAAAATGCCGGAGAGCATCCAGAGAATGATTGGATATTCTGTCTCGAGTCCGTACTGCGGGTGGGTGGACTTGAAAGATCCAATATGCTTTGTAAGGGATGTAAAAAGTGGATACAAGGATCTTTGATAGTGCATACCGCAAGGAAGTTATCATGGTGGGAATCGTACCATGGTGGGGTGACTACTGTTTTCTGTGGTTTCCACGTTTTCACATCATTCTCAATCATGTACAGTCTGGCAGATTCATGCGCAGCAAGCGCTCCCAAAAAACACGGCCTAAATTCCCGAGAAGGACCGAGTATGTCTAAAGCTGCCACTCCTCTCTTTTTGTAAGGAATAGGCATACTTTTCCCTCTCCACAGCGGCTCCAAATCTCCGTGGCTCAGGGACTACAATTCTGGCTTCTAAAGCAGTCAAATACTATAGTATGTAGCAGTCATCAACTCATGCTACTGTCAATGGTCCGCCACGATACTCAACTACTCACACGTGTGAGATGTCTTTTCATGGTCAAAGAAGCGCGTGTGCCTGCGTCCTCACAAGGTGGCGCGGTCTTTCAAGTACAAAATCAAGTCAGTGCCAGCTTTTGATATTCTCTACATATTGACATCCTGTTCTCAATGGCACTCACGGATCACGAAGCACAATCGTAAACGAGAGCTATTGAGCACAGTAACCGCCATCCACATTCACTACCGAGCCAGTTGTCCAGCTCGCCGCGTCACTGCAAAGGAAGAGTGCAGCTTTCCCTACATCCTCCGGGCTACCCAAATGCGGCCAAGGACTTTGAGCATGTAGCTGCTTGTTCAAATCCACATCTTCCAGAGCAGATCGTACCATAGCTGTCTTCAGAAAGCCCGGACAAATGGCGTTTACGTGAATTTTGTCGGCGGCATAATCGAGCGCAACTTGTCGGGTCAAAAGTACCACAGCCCCTTTGCTCGCGCAATATGAAGCTACGGGTGAGAGTGTAAGCTGCAATGCACGGAATTCACTAGGGGACCAGGTCAAATCAATGTATATACTCACGTTCCATTGATAGACCAACAAGACCTCCGATAGAAGCAATATTGACAACCCACCCACGAGACCCCGATGGGTGGGGACTTTGCTTCATCATCTGCCCGATGGCATACTTCATTCCAAGGAATGGACCGCGCGCATTGACTGCCTGCTCAGTATCAGCGACAGGAGTTCTCTCCCCCGCCAGGAGTCCAATGCCCACCATTGTTTTCTCAAAGGCTTCTACAGGCTCTTCAGCGATCCTGTTTTGGCCACAAAAAATGCCAGCATTATTGACCATACTGCAGCTTGCGCAAATGAAAAAAGTCAGCAAACATTTAACCGCGGCTGATCCACGCTCGGCCTTGCCATGAGGAAGTGCACTGACATATCGAGCCTTCCGAACTCCTTCACGGCTGCGTCCACCAGTGCCTCAACGTCTTCCGGTCGACTCGCATCAGTTTTCTTGAAGATGGCTTTGCCCGTTCTTGCAACCAGTTCATGGGTCGGGAGCGTCTCAGTCTCGTAACCTCCTTGCCGCAGAGATGGGCTCAAGTCGCTGCACACAACGGTGGCTCCTGCTGATCCAAGAGCTGTGGCGATGGCTCTCCCAACCCCTGATGAGGAGCCTGTAACAATGGCAACGCGCCCGGAGAGACTACTTCGATTATTAGAGCCCGCGTCTTTATTCGCATTCTCTGTGCAATCCGTGGGCATGGGACTTACTTCATGACATCTGTCATTAAGGATGTTGTTGCAAGTTTGCTTTCCTCCGGCTCGCGATTCAACTGGTCCTGACTTCGCAGTGACTCAGAAAGCGTGAGATGATGGATACGTAGTGAAAAGAAGCGTTGGAGGTCTTCACCGGAATATGAGCCTCCAAAATTGTCACCCCCCAACTGTTCTGTGGAGCACAAATCTGTTATTTCAAGATCGCCTTACCATTGCAAAGCGGACGCTGGGCGTTCAGGATTACAGGATAGACAAGATGCGTAGACATGAGGCCGAGATTTCACAGAAATCCTCTAATCTCTCTCCCGCGTAATCTGTTCTCGCTGTTGCTTACCCGATCTTGGTCAAGCCAAATCAGGTCTAAACCATCCCACTTTAGGGTTGAACTTGGAGCCAAACGTGTCGCCTCAAAAGGCTCATGGAGACCTCGTCACATCATGAAATTGTAGAAAGCCGTTATCCCCGTCAGTCCGGTAGCAGGGCGATTTACTTGTAAGCCTTCATGGGCCAGCCACAAAGTTGTATACTTTGAGGATGACAATTGCAGGTGTAGGGACGATGATGCACATCTGCAAACAAAATGATCGCCCAGCGATCTGTCTACATTACGCAACTGCCTCTTACTACTAAACTTCCGAAGAAGCGAAATGCAGGTGCTGCAGTCTGCAAAGAACATAAGTTTTGTATTTCTCAGTCTTTCAAGTGGGTTCTCAGAAATTTCAGTTGTGCTTCGATGTTGGTCTCGAAACAGTCGCCAGAATAGGGTTCAAAGTGGCCAGTTCCCTTGAGAAACAATAGCTCCTTCGGCTCCTTTGCTCTCTCGAATGTCTCCATCTGTGTTGGTACATAGACTGCCGTGTCCTCCTCGGCAATGACCATTAAAAGCGGTGTGGGCGAGATTCTCTCGATGTACGCACGTGGTTCATTCTTCATCAGTTTGAACAGGCTCTGCAGAGTGATTTTGTTCTCCCACTGGGCATCGGGACCGGTCTCGCTCTGCACGAAAAACCTGTACGCATCTTCGGCTGGGAGCACACATGCCGCAGTTCCTGCCTGCGCGTCTGCGAGCGTATCTGCTACGACAGTCATTAACGCGCCCGGTGTTCCGTCGCTGATACGAGAACGGTCAGCGATAATAAGAGGCATGAGGTCAATCAAGCCCGGAACAGAGCTTCCGGCTACGAATGGGACCTGTGCAATCACAGCTTTGATACGGCGGTCGACGGAAGCAGCCTGTAGCACGTTCCCGCCGGAGTAGCTGGAACCCCAGATCGCGATTCTATCTGCGTCGACTTCTGAGAGCGTGGAGACGTAGGTGACCGCGTCGTGGTAGTCTTCAACCTGCTTGAAGCCGTCGACTTCGAATCTGGGATGACCGTCGCTTGCACCGAAGTTGCGATTGTCATAGACAAGAGATGCGAAGCCGGCAGCTTGAAATCTGGCGGCGAAGTTGTCCAGGTATTGCTCTTTCAGACCTGTTAACTATAGCGGGTAGGTGTCGTCAGAAGATATGGACTTGCAAAGTTGGAAGCAGGTAAAGAGGAAGACCAACGCCATGGGAGAGAATAACAACGGGTGACTTGTCACCGGCAGGATAAAACCAGCCTCTCAAGGTCAACTGGTCCACCGTCTTGAAAGAAATGTTGCGACGAGAAGCTGAAGCCATGACAGAAATGGTATGGAGTCCCGTGGCGCAGAGAGCCTAGTTGCGAGAAATTACTCTGATCTTGTTAAGATGTCGTCAATTTGGTCGCTTGAAAGTTGTGACGGTGAATGAGGAGCAGCTCAATAACTCGATCGACATGGAGTTCTGTGTTTCAACATGCTGTAAATTGCGATGCTTTGGTGTTATATTGAAAACACAGTAGTTGCCGGAACATTAAGACAGCGAAGCGGCAACATACAACATGGCACCCAGTGTCGAATTTCGTGTGTCAACACGTACCTAGAATCTTTGCAGTTCTGGAGTCTCCCTGAATTGGGAAGCCGACAGAGTTGGAAGGCGATGGATGTGCTAGTTGACTACCAAGCGCTAAATACGGGCAACTAACATTAGCACGACGATAAAGAATTGCATCTTTCGTTGTTGATAACCTTTTAGAGTACTTGCCCGTTTGACAATATTTATCCTCCCCACAACAGCCCGGCCTTGACACCGGGTCGGAATAATGCTACAGTCCATGCTGAGCACAACTTTTGCATCAACGTCTGGTTCCAGTGGTAGCCTAGTGTTAAAGCGGCAACCTCAGGAGGTTTTTCGTCTCTCACATATATCGGACAGAGGAACTAACCTTCCAACCACAATAGCACAGCCATCTCATTCACTGCTACTGACTACCGTCGCTTTCCAAAACTCATTGCCATTCGACCTGTTTGGGAACCATGGCAATGCCTTCTGCTTCTATGGTCGAGGTCATGCACGCGACCAATGGCCTCAGCACAGACATCTACAGTGCCAAGTCATCACCAGCTCGGTCGCAACAAAAAGAAATTCTGCTATCACAACAGGCCCAGCGACTGCTAGATCTCGAGGCTCGATACACTGTCGGAGGATTCACACCTCTGCCCGGATTCTTCGAACGAGGTTTGGGGTCCGTGCTTTGGGCAAGTAGATACTCAAATGGTCTGGCTGTGTAGGCAGCGGGCTGACAAGGTGTGAAACAGGACGTGGATGGCAAGGAGTATCTTGACTTCATCTGCATGTTCAGTTCCATCAACCAGGGGCACTGTCATCCCAGGATTGTCGCAGCTGTGATCGAACAGGTCCAGAAGGGTGAATAGCCACTTCCAATCAAAGGCCAGTTCTCTTGTCTGATTTGATCGTTAGCGTACAACATCAACACTTCCACACACAACGCAAAGTGGCCGGTGTTTGCAGAGATGATGTGTAAGAGGTTTGGTTACGATCAAATCTCGGCCATGGTGACCGGCGCTGAGGCAGTAGATCTGGCCTGTAAGATCGCACGACGGTACGCACATGAGGTCAAAGGCGTACCATCGGATCGAGTCCTTGTCCTGGGAGTTTCAGGCAATTATCATGGACTCTCGGGAGGTGTGTGGAACTTGCAGGACCCCAGTCCAGCAAGAACA